CGTTTTCCCCTTGCGACGCGTCTTTAAAAAAAATTAAATGTAGCAGATACTTTTAATCATATCTTTGGATCTATTTGGCCTAACAACACGATTTAAAAACTGGTTTAAAGTTCAAAGTCTCTACTTTTCACTCAAGTCAGAGAGGGCAGATCTTTAGAGGTAGAGTTTTTTCTTTCTTCCTAAACTTTATTTAGGTCAGCCAGCATTGACAATGCTCTGCAGGTGACGTAAACACCTCCGCGACACAGCGAGGGACGCATAAATCATGCAACACAACAAATCGATAATGAAATTTGTTGCCAACGCTTTTAATAATAGATTTTTATTGATTTTATCGATTCGTTTTTGCAGCCCTAGTCTCGGCTGCTAAGGAACAATTGGCGAAAGGTGTGAATGATTGGATATGATTTTACCCAATCACTAATGCTTGGTTGTGACTTATGTAGTGCACCAGGTTGACAGTAAAGGATGCTAAGCTAAGAAACTAACCAGAAATTGCGTGCACTGTAAACAACCATCCCCTACTGGGAAGAGTGAAGTACCGAGCTGAACGAGACGGCTGTAAATGAGTGCTGCAGGCTTTGTAAGACAAATTTATTTAATTTGGAAGCCTTGTCAACATGGACTGAATGGTTTCTAACACTAACCCTTTACTTCCTCCACTAACATTGCTAAATTAAACACAGACTAAAACAAAATCAGTGTCATTCTAAACTTCTCCTCCTGTTCTTTGATTGGCCCAAGTTGAAATTCTACTGAAGAAATCCATGTCAGTGGAAGAAATCCCAGACGGAGCAGAGAAAGGAGATTAGAATTGAGCGGAACTGTGTAGGAAGGCAAAGGCCAGGCTAGATATTCCATACAGCAGGGCTATTCAACTAAATTGCTCTGAGGGCCACAGTTACTGCAGGTCAACAGCTGAGGGGCCGAACATCCAGCAATTAAAGTTATTCTGTAAATAAACCAAGTATTACAAAGTCATGTTACCTTTGAAATAGTTTATTCTGCTGCATTTATGAATACAACATACAGAACCCTATAAAAGTAGTGATAATTAAACAACAAAAACAGGTATAACACATTATGCCTCTTATTTACCACAAATAATATTTTGACATCTCTGACTTGCCAAATGTTCAAACCAATTTTATTTTCACTTTCATAGTTTTATGTTCAACTGCTTGTAATTTTAACTGTCTTGAGTGTGCATAGACTTGGTTTTTACCAGCTTTTAGCCAAGATTCTGACGTTTCTGTAGATACCAAACATGTCTCTGTCTAACTAAAAGAACTTAGACTAATTAAAGTAGAAAATGGGCTTTGGGCTTAAGAGATGAATGAAMCAGTTGGGGGTCTGAACTTTAGTCACTCACCAGTTGAATAGCCCTGCCGTAAACTATCAAATTCATGCAAAGCCCCTTTCCCCCCACAGCCTCCACTCCTATGTCCCTCTTACTGCAACCACACTTTTTATTGTACAGACTGAGATGGTAAATTCCTTTTTACATTTGTGAAATTTGCACTTAAACACCACCACTGTTTGACAGATGGTGCACAAAGAGTGATTGTAGGGAGCATGTCCCCACGCTTCCCAGTTGAGGCGTACTCCCTCCTGGCCAGCACAACCACGGAGAGCCCTGTGTCTCTGAGATGTTTTCTTTGTACWCAAAAAATGTGCCACCTCATTCCATGAGTCAATTGATTATCTTTATAAGACTTATTTAACTGTTTTTTTTCTTCAATTTAATTTTTTTATTTATTTTTCACTTATGAACAAAACAAACAAAAAATAATTACAAACATAAACCTATCTAGTCAGTACAGGGTTGTTTCATTAATTTTGGCATAATTAACAATCTGGCACTGAWATGCAATTTAAATAAATAGCATAGTCTTCATGCATTGGGGAATGTCATCCCCTTTTAGCCCAAACCATGTCCATGGGGTTTCCCTCTCCTGCCCTTCTTGTCCATTGTCCTCTGGTCTATGCAGCATGGATTCATAAGATGAAATTTCCACCATGGTGTCTGTCCATTCTTTCATCTTGGGTGATTGGGTTGATTCCCAATGCTTCAAAATCATCCTAGCAGCTGTAATCAGTCCAACCATAATCACAAAAAAACGTCCTCTTATTTAACTATTTTTAAGTTTTGCTGGAACGGTTTCATTAAAACATTGATATTTATYAGTGTTGAGTACAAGACTTTCTTAAAAACGTGGTTTTGATTGGAATGATTGTCGGTTACAATCATTTTGTAAAAAGCTAAATTTGCTATCCTAGCCACGCCCACATGCTGTGGCAAAACCTCAAGCTTTGGATAACTTAATAGCTTGTATTTTAAAGATTTATTGACCAAGTACAAAGGTGATTCTTCAAAAATATTTAGGATACATTTGTTTACATACTAAAGGCACAAAACACAAACCAAAACCATGTTCTCCTCTCTGTTTGGGAAAAATCAATAAATTAAATGTTTTCCTTCATCATCTAAAAACTGCTCCTTGTCCATATGTTGCTGTTTAGTTTAAAAACAAAGGACTATCAGAGGCTCAGYTAGTGTGAACATGATGTACTGTGCAGGACCAGGACCAGGGCTTCCTGGAGGATCAGAAGTTGTTCTTTGTGTCTAGATGTATGCATTAATCTGGGAACCTTTCGTTTCAGGTGTATCGGAGTATTTCAGCTCCTGCTGACTCCCAGATGGCCAAAAAGCCTCTGATAAAGGTGGAGTATGAACTCAGGTCTCAGTCGGATCCTGCTGGAACCTCAGGCGGGACTCATTCCTCTGACTGTGGAGAGAAGAGAGGGACATTAAATGAACCMGGAGGTCCAAACATGTTGGAATGTTACCCCCCTCTGAACCCATTCATGGTTCCTCTGAAGCTGCTACAGCGAAAGCAGACTTCATTACCCTGAGTCAAAGTTTTAAACTTGATTATCCACCAGAACCAGTCAGCTGTTGGGTTTTTCTTTAACCAGTTTTTTGCTGTAGAAATCAGTAGATCAAACWAAAATCTCACCTAACTGCTGATAGTGTTTTATTTATTTTGTTAGTTATTTTTGTAAGGGAATGTTAAAACTTGGCTCTTTAAGAAGTTGTTCTTATTTTTGTGATAAACTTTTATGTAATTTTGACTGAATTTTGTTTTCTAAAACCRGTTCAGAGGCATCTTTTGCAGCTGTGTTTTAGCTGGAAAGAAATATCACCTCTCCTTTTCTGGATCCAACTGTAATGAAGCTGGAGGCAGAGAAACTAATGCATTTACTGTGTGAAGTTACAATGAAAGTTAGTCTAAGTCTAAATCTGGTGCAGTGTTTTAACATGTATGTTGTAACTGCACACTGTCCTGAATAAATGAAGTGATTGAAGGATGGAGTCTATTTTTTACCTGTTTGTGACCCACAGCTGTTTTTTTCACAGAATATTGAGTCATTACAAATGAACTGACAGATTATTTTATGTAGTTACTGTTCAGGTAAAGTATACATTTTTTTATTACCAATATGATGATGTATCGCTAAACATAGTAAGATATGTCAAAAAGAATAATTTGTACAACAAAAAAGCAGTTTATATGCACTATATAAAGACACTTGCATTTTTTTCACAGTGATGTGAAATTAGAAGAAACATTTCTCATTTTAAAAGGGCAATATCATGCAAAATCAACTTTTTGAGTTTTATATAATGTTATAATGTTATCCTCTCATCAAAAACATGTCCAACACCTTGCTTTGACTCATTCATGCATGTTTGAGWAATCCTGTAGTGTCCTGAGGCAGCCATGCTGAGGAGCAAAACGACAGGTTGGGACTAGAACCACCTTTTGGGATCAGCTCCTCCTCTGGGCTGTGTCTCCAAGCTGAGCTTCCTCATCACAGAGCACACACACCTAGGCCTGTCGCGATAGTCAATTAATGTATTAATCGCACGATAACTTTTTTTGAGGTCGGTAAAAAAAAAGGGGCCGATAAGTTTCATTTTCCTGCTTGTTTGTTTACTTCGTGTCTCTCTGCTCCGCAACACAGGAGCTCCGCTGACCCCTCCCCTCCTGTTTTCTTAGTGTGGGAGG